GGCGTCGGCAAGCAGTCGTCGTCCTCGCCGTGCATGTGAGGTTTGCTCATGGCACCGCGGCACAGAGAGAACAGAGAATGAGTTCAGTGGCTAAGAAGGCGAGGAGGGGGCGGATCTGAGCAGCCCGCGTTGAATGGATTTGTGAGGCATGGGTAGTGGCTTACCGGAGTTGTGTTGTTGCAGATAGTGATGCATCGCTGCGGATCCAGCTGCGACATCGCCGGAGAGTAGCGCTGCCGCGGATCCGACCGAAACGGGACCGCATCCATCACCCGCAGGTGCTCCAGGAAGCGCGCCCCGTCCGTCGCGCTCGGTCGCGCAGTCCACAGCAGGCAGCCCCAAGGTCAGTGGATGCAGGAGACCGATGCGGTGGCCGGCGGGCGGGAGAGTGGGTCTTCCTGCTCGTCGACGCGGGCGACGATGCAGCGGGGGGAGGGGAAAGGGAGAGAGGGTTTGTGTGAGTGAGACGAGAGGAGATGAGAGAGTGAGCGAGACGAGAGGATAAGGTATGTTAGGTAGAATGCGGCGGGGGGAGGGGAACGGGCGACGGCGCGTCGTTTTAGTTCTGATGCCGCCCTAGAGGCCTGCGTGCCAGGTGGGCCGTGCAACAGGCCCGTCGTGGCGGGCATGGCGTTTTTTTTGCTGTTTTCTTTTCCTTTTTCTCTTTACTTTTTTGGGTTTCTGTTTATATTTTATTTCCTATTCTTTTTTATTTTTAGTTACATTAATTTGTTTTAATTATAATATACAGCGTTCGTTGCATGTCACAAAAGTGTTCAATAGTATTAATGAAATGTTCATGGTTTTTTAAAACAGTTCATCATCCAATACAAAATTGTTATTATAAAATGTTCAATGAATATATAATCATTGTGTTTTTTAAATTTGGTAACTGTATATTACAAAAATTCGAAATATGTATTAAAAATTTGTTCAACTTATATTACAAAAATATATAATCATTGCGTTTTTATGTTTATTTTATTTTCCTTTATCTCTTTTTTTATTTTTGTTATGTTTAAATTTTTTCCCTATACTCTTTTATTCTTTATTTATAATGTTTGGTTTTTATTATAATATACAGAGTTCAATGCATGTCACAAAAGTGTTCAACGGTATTAAGGAAAAGTTCATGTTTTTTCGAAAAGTTCATCGTCCATTACAAAATTGTTCAACATTTATTGTAAAATGTTAAGTGAATATATAAACACTGTGTTTTTTAAATTTGTTAATTGTATAAAACAAAAAAATTGAAATATATATTAAAAAATTGTTCAACTTATATTACACAAATATATAATTGATGTGTTTTTTGTTTATTTTCTTTTCCTTTATCTCTGATTTTTTTTGTTTATATTTTTTTCCTAAACTTTTTATTCTTTATTTAGATTGTTTCGTTTTTTGTTATATGATGCATACACAAATCCTATTTATATTTCAGCATAGATATAAAGTGATGGGTTTCGACATACGCACTGATGTAACGGTGACAGTCCACACTGAAACACCACGAGAAGAGGTGCATATAGCTAACCTTACTCTGTATGTATATTATAGATGATAATATGAATGGTCTATTTTATATTCTTGTTTAATCAGAATATAAGAGACATGGATATGGACATTGGAGATGCACAGAAAGAATACATGGAGGTTTCAGATGCAACGTCGAAGGAAGGGGCCGCATATTCACAACATAATAACGTCGAAGAGGTTATATCTCATAACAAACCAAAAAAGGATGCTAATTTGCGTGTTATCCCACTAGGTATATGTTTATATTATTATCGATCTTATTTTTGTGATATTGCCTTTTGTATTCAACTAATTTGGCTCATTTTTTTAACTAAGTTGTCTCACTTTTTATGAATTTGACAGACTATGTTTGTACCCCTAGAGATATTACAGTCATCGAATCAATAAAGTGTGCCCACAAGGATACCCAGTTCGTGGACATTGGAGATGCCTTGTTAGCAACCGACGATTTGAAATGCCTTATAAAAAATGATATGTTCTTACATGATGGTGTAAAACCAATTGCACAAACTTTGTAATTAATAATATGAACAATATATAATATTATAAAATATAAATATATCCTAAATGTTGTTTACATGTGATAAATGCTTACATATATTGCATCCTTGCTTACGACCATCTACAAGACAGAGCGGGTGAAAAGGTACAAATTATTAGCACATTTGTATCTGGACAGATAAAAGAAGACGGTGACAGAGACATCGACCCAACAAAATATCGTCGCATTGTGCGTCATGTTAATAATTATCTACAGCAAGATATGGTTAGTTGTTGTCTTCATATCCATGCATATATTTATGGATATTTTTATTTAGTTTTTATGTCTAATGATTTATTAATAATTATGTCTAATTGTGATTGTGATTTGTATGATATTTACACCAGTTATTCATTTTGATAAACATGCCGTGCTACCATTGGTATCTAGCAGTCGCCAATGCCAAAAAACGAGAGATCCAAGTATTGGACTCACTTGGTGAGAATGTCAAACGCAATGACCTTGCTACTACGGTAACTATCTATTTTTTTACTCATCTTAACATATGTTTTGTTTGACTTCATCCCTAACATTTCTCATATGATAGTTACGGGGGCTCGAGAAATGGCTGAAACTTGCAGAGCAGAGTTCGGAGTTTATTAGAGGTGATAAGTGGCCCGATCTCAATGTTACAGAATGGACGGTTGAAGAGCAAATTCAGGAGGCAATACAAACCCATGGGTAAGCAATTGTTAAAATGTTTGTTTATTTGATTCATCTGTGTGATATTCTAAAGCACACTTACCAAATATTATAGCGTATCATGTGGGTTGTTTATGCTAAATTACATGGAATATTGGACATCACATGGACTGTCAGACCAGTTCACCCAGGTATTTCATTTTTATACATTATTTCGTTATTTTATCTGAAAATATTATATAACTTTTTTGTATAATTTTTTTAGAAGGATATGAAACATTTTCGTCAAAAATTAGCAGTCATTTTGCTTGATTCAGAGCTTAATTTGCTAAAAGGATGTCCCATATACCATAAACCTGTCAGCGAAGAAACTTTAGCTAATTCTGATTTCGAGATCCTGGATAATCCTCCTGACATAGTCGAAGAAAAACGTCCTGCCCCAGTCACTATTATTCCCACGGACCAACGTCAAATACTTGCCGACCTCTGCAAGTACATCATGTCGATCGATGATGCCGGGTGTTTGGAGTAAGCATCATGTATCAATATTTAATGTGCGGATGTATATTATTGTTCTTCTTACCATCCAAATTACAGGAAGGTATGGGTCCGGAGCTGCACACCCGATTCAATGAGCTTAAGTCTTAAAAAACTTCAGTGCATACTTAAGATGGAGCAGCCTATGGACAATGATTGCTTCAACACTGCCGTGCATATGCTGGCATGTGATGAGAGAGTATTGTTCACAGACCCTCCTATACACTACATGGATCTACGATTTTGTGTAAGTTATCATAACTCTTCATTCTATGTGCCATTAGTATCAACATGTTTAAACAATATTTCTTCTTTTACTTAGTCCATGATGCTAGAGTCAACACGAGGTCAGAAGTTTTGTGAGAAGGAAACTATCCAGACATTGGCAACATTATTTGATAGCTGGCCTGGAATGGAGAGCGACATCTCATCTTGCAATAAGGTAAATAAAATATTTTGTCCATCGTTATGATGGTTTGTTGTTGTTTCTAATAACTCCACTTGTAGATTTATCTTCCCTATGCATCCATCGGCCGATACATATTGTACGTCATCGACAAAGAGGCACATCGTTTATATATTATGGATCCTATTCAAACATCACAATCGTCAGAGGATAAAAACTTGAGGCATTCACTGAAATTAAAAAGTTTTGCAAGGGATTTCAAAGAAGCACTCGAAATAAAGATGACTGGTTGGAATTATGATATATCTAAATGGCAACGTTTATTTCCGTTTAGTGTTCCAACGAGTGTAGACGGGTAATGAATTCATAACAAGAGTATTTACTTTTGTTATCACTATATTTTTTATATTATTAAATTAAATTTTTTCAGGAATGTGTCTGGCTATTTTATTTTTTATTTAATGCTCTGGTGGAACGGTAAAGAATTGGTGAAGCCGATTTGCACGGTGAGTATTGTGCGTTACATGTTTTAAGACCTTCGGCGTGAAATTGTCATACTAACTACATGTCTTGTTTCTGCAGGATGGGAATGAATTGAGAAAGCATTTTTTATTATACTTACTAAAACATCGTGGGAATGAAGCTAGAGAAAACTTTCCTGATATTATGAAAGAATGTCTTAAGGGCATCATCTAGATATTAATAGTTTTATAATAGATGTTCAGTTGGAACATCACTCAGTTGTTACATGGACATCTCGTTATTTTTTCTTTTATGTTATCCAATTACATTGCAATAATGGACTTCTGTTATTAAATAATTGTGTTTGTGTTATATTGTTTGTATGTGTGAAATATTTCAAGAGCCCGTGGCAACGCACGAGCATTCTACTAGTACTTATAAAAGCACGAGTTCGATGAATCCAAATGATCAGAGCCATCCAACCACCTATATCCAACGTCTCACGCTGATCCAATGATGTATCCATCACATCATCAATAATTTTGAAACATATTAGTTGTGTTAATCTTAATTAAAAAATGACATTAATTGTATTAAATGCAATTAATCTTGGAATAAACACTAATTGTAGTTAATGTTGGAAATAATATTACGGTCAAACTGGATGTGCGTGCACGAACACGATTAGTAGTACTATAATTTTAGGGCAGCACATTCACATGCCCAACCGTAATGAAAGGAGGTGTATGTTGAAGCAATATCCCGAAGATCATGCCCAGACTATTAGCCTGTTATTATACTGATGGAGATTCTCTGAAAACTGAAATCCAATATCTTAATGCAAACCTGAATATACATATGCATTGTTTATGGCAGAGGGCAATCGAGGAAGGTGCTGACTTCATAGAGACTGATATACTTGCATCAAAGGACGGACATCTGATATGTTTCCATGATGTAATCCTGGATGCCACGACGGACATCACAAACCGTACCGAGTTTGCTGGCAGGAAGAGAACCTATGATGTCCAGGGATTTAAGTTGACTGGGTGGTTTATCGGTATGCGACACCATGTCTCAAGCTTCTTTTCTTGCTCTTGCTATTTCTGACATTTTTGGCTGTGAATCTACTTTGACTTTTGGAGTTCTTCTTGCTTCCAGTGGATTTTACTTTAAGAGAACTGAAATCACTGAGGGTGAAACAGCGCTACAATTTCAGGGATCAACAGTATAATTGTATAACTTTTGTCTTCTCTATCTCTCGCTTTTTCATATTGCATTCTGCTTTCATAAATACTGCTCACATCTCATCACTAATGAAATAAAATACAGTATAATATGGATGCCTGGATTTGTATAAATTGCTATTTAAATGTCCCTATAAATATATATAATCCCTTTTCCCTTTGCAACTGCTAATAATGTTCTCCTACTATATTGCAGGGAAGTACAATATTCTTACATTTGATGAGTTTATTTTGATTGCACTTCATGCTGATAGGGTGGTCGGAATATACCCAGAGATCAAGAATCCTATATTCATCAACCAGCATGTAGGTGATTTCAACCTGACCAACTCCTGAGGACACTTTGTTTACTTAAGAATGAACCAACTTTAATATCTACCTATTTTTTGACTTTTTTCCACAATATGATTACTAAATAAACATGCAGGTCAAGTGGTCAGGTGGCAAGAAGTTTGAGGACAAGTTTGTTGGGACGCTTCTCAAGTATGGCTACAAAGGCAAATATATGTCTAAAGATTGGCTCAAGAAGCCACTATTCATCCAATCCTTTGCTCCAACTTCACTAATTTACATCTCAAACATGACAAATGCTCCAAAACTGCTTCTAATATACGACACCACAGTTCCAACTCAAGATACCAACCAGATAAGATCAGCAGTAAGCACTATTTCTTTTCTACCAAGTTCATCACCCGAAAACTCCTAGTTTTCAAAGATCATTTATAACCTGCAGTCATACTATGAGATAACTTCGAATGGCTATCTCGCGTTCATAAGGAAGTATGTAATTGGGATTGGGCCATGGAAGGATACAATTATCCCCCCAATGAATAACCATCTAGGCCCTGCAACCGATCTTGTGGCACGGGCACACGCTCTGAATCTTCAGGTGAGCAACACATTTCTCTCTGTTATACATGTACATATATACATATGTCAGGTCTTAGATGGCAGTACCATGCTGAATCATGGTGGCATTGTAGGTGCATCCATACACATTCAGAAATGAGAACTCATTCCTGCACTTCAACTTCCATCAAGACCCTTATGCTGAATATGAGTACTGGCTCAAAGAGATTGGAATCGACGCGCTGTTCACCGATTTCACCGGCAGCTTGCACAAGTACCAGGAGTGGACAGCTCCACACCAAAAGAAGGAAAAGAAGTGCAGAGGAACTCCTGCATGAGATCGCCAACACGCTGAAGGTTGATGTTCACTAACCTTAGGTTGCCAAGTCTGTATGCCTCCTCCCTTTCAGGAGCTATTTCATTGTTGTCAGTACCGAGAAAATGAACTTGTTAATACCATTCTATGTAACTGTTTCCAATAAATCACGGGAAGTGCCAACTGTAGAGCATCATAGGGTTCGAAAAAAAATCGTTTGGTGAAATTTTTCTTTCCATTTCTGCGGGACATGCCAACGATTTTTAACATGGATAATTAGGTGTGCGGTCTTATTTGTTGCCTACTAACCTCGAATAAGGGTCACTCTTCCTTGCAAACAAAAAAATGTGTGCATGATCTAACTTCCACTGTTATTGTAGCGATTTCTGAAGATATCCTACTGCTTTTTCCCTTGAAGTTCTTTCTGGCTGCCTCGCTCCATATGCAAAGCCATCCTCCAAGTTTGGGTGCAGGGTTTCGCACCATCGCCCCGATTTTTGGTGTGTTTCTTTTTATCCTCCTTTCTCCCTCTTTTTGGCTGTAATAGGCAAAGGTGTGGTGCTTTCTCAGATCCTCAATAACCCCTTCCACAACGTTCCAAGGCGTATGATAACATATAATGTTGTTGTGGCTTTTGAGAGTGTACATGCAATGACGAGAAGGAAGAAAGGGAAAATTACTCTTGTGTGATAGAGTGAAATGGCATTATTTGGAAGATGGGCTTTAGCATTAATTTTTATCCGGCTGATTATGAAATGTGTGTTTCAGTCAGATTTTCGGTGCAAGTGAAAGGTGAGTTACTGACGCATTTTACCCCCTCATGAGATTGCGGCCGGGAGATCCCATGTCACCATTTCTTTTCCTATTGTGTGCTGAATGACTCACTTCCGTGGGTATATCACTTGCTTTTTGCTGATGATAGTCTGATCTTCATCAGTGCAAATTGTAGAAGTACATGCTCTAGCCAATGCAACCAAAAGACCGATCTGATGGAAGAGACTATGCAGCACATTATACGTCAACACTCCCCCTCACGCGTGGCTCCCTCAGGCCTAAACATGGACCGAAAGTGGACTGCAATTTAATTGCGCCAGCCGGGTCTTGAACTTAAGACCTCTTGGCTCCGATACCATGTTAGAAGGGAGAGAGAGGATTGGTGGAATTGTTTGATGTATTGCTTGAGCCTCATGAGCATATATATAGAACTACAAGGTCGTCTTGAAGTATAAGGCAAGATGGAATAAATCCTACGCTATCCTATGTTTTCATAATAACAATGATACTCAACACAAATATTCATAGTGCGGACAGACTTAATGAGATCCTCCAGATTTATGCGGTCTGTCAAGGTCAAAGTGTTAATAAACTGAAGGGTGCAGTTTTCTTCAGCCCCAACTCGCCAAGGAATGTGGGACAGATTGTGAAACAGAGGTTGGGTATTCTAGTCGTGGCCTTCAGTGATAGATATTTGGGTCTCCCTACAGCTGTGGGTAGAATCACCAGTGGCACCTTTGATCATAGGGTGAATTCTATATATGCCACCCAAAATTTGCGCGTATCCCCATATGACCCCGCTCCAATAAATCTGGCGCTCGAGGCCCGAGTATTGGCCTCGAGATTAGATTGCTGCACGAACCTCATCACGTCCCATCAACCTCTTGAACTCTCGCCGCAATGATCTTTCCGCTTTGGCACCGATCCTTGACGAAATTCGAGAGCTATCTTCATCTTTTACTCTTTTTGTCGTTCAATACCGGCTCATCATTGTGCAAAGCATGCTTGTACGCTGATGGTCATTGATAGCTAGCTAGACTCTGAACCATTGTTCCTGATCAACGGCCTCCTAGTTGATTGTTCGAGGACCGCTTTTGTTGGATAAAGCTCTCTGAAGTTTCCAAAAAAAAACATTTCCCCGGTACCAAACCTGACATATTGCCCCCACTTTGTCAATGTGGCATCTCCCTCTCTCTCTCTAAACGGCAGCGTGCCGGTGGTGGTGCGGCGACGGCGTGCGGGCGACGCGGTGGGCAATGGGGGCGACAAGCTGACGTGGCAAGTATTAGGAGATGCCAAATTACCCTAGATATTGGGAGATGTGGAGAAATTTATTAGGACTTTCCAATAATTTTCAGCAATCCAAATAACATTCAAACAAATCTAAATTCATTCAACTAAGATTCAAACAGCCCAAATTTCTATTAATTTTTAGGATTTTTAGAGGATTCAAATGAAATTTGAGTCTAAACATAACTAGTCACATTCCTAATCCTCACTACTTGTTGTCGTAGTTGCCGAGGCCGAGGGAGTCGTCGCTCCCGAGGTCGATGATGCCAGCCGAGGCCACCGAAGTGGCAAGTGTAACGTGAAGCCCCCGCACGCCCGCCGAGTTGTGAGGGTGGCGCCGCGGCACCTTTGATTCACGAAATGCTTGGAGGAACCCCGATGAGTCTTCCGGGTTGCTAGGCTCCCTGGCCACTTTGTACCCTCCGGCAAGGCGGCACCAGATCCTTCTTAGGGACGCGGAGGCTGCTGCGCGCCGTGGAGCTCAATTCCAGATTGATGAAGACATCGCCTCGCGGCATAGAGCCGCTGTCACCACTTGGAGGCACCGGAACACCCCTGACTTGTGCGCGGTACGCGGCCAACACGTGATGGTAATTGCGCCCCTCCCAAAATGGGTGGCTACGTGGCGTCGAAGTGCCGGATCTGGTCCACATGATCCTGGGTGAGGATCTACGGCCAAAGAGGGTTCTAGGAGCGTAGGCCAGACCCCCCCTCGCCGCCAACGACAGGCGTGCCTGATACACAGCAATGGTGCACATCAAGGCGACGGAGCCGATGGTGGGGACTGGTGCCACTGGAACGCCCCGATGCTCAGATGTCATCCCGACGGCAGGCGCGTGTCCGACAACGTGCCGAAAGGAGCGAGGTCCGCGGCAAGAGAGGTGGAAGCTGCATATATGGGGAGGGGGAGGTGGGTGGGCGCCGATGGAGGCGTTAGGCGTCCTCTTGCTGGTCTTGCTATTTTGATGGGGCGACCCAAATGGACACGTATTTTGTCCGCATTTTGATGATCTTTTGGTCGCCCCATTGGGGTGCACCGAAGCAGAAGCGTTTTGTCTTTGCATTTTTCACTTGTGTATGTATGTGTAGAGACCGATAATATGTGAGGTTCGGAGCTCAGAATCATTTTCTTCACGCCTGCAGTCTTCTGATCTGACACTAGGACGGATGGGCATACCCATTACCCAGCAGATTCCTCATAGGATGTGACCCTATGCAATTAGTGAACCCAGCGGATTTCATTGACCGCTGAAATCGTTGACTGACAGCAAACTTGTCGACACCCTTGCAACCCTGCTGTACCGGGCGACGGACGACGACTCTGCGATAGGTACGGGGCAGCCAGAGTCACCGTGTTTGTCCAGTGGAGTCCCGACTCCAATCGACTTCATTCCCCTCCGAAAATCAAAGAAGCAGCAGAAAGAAATGCAGGGGTAGCAGCTCACGCCATGTCCAAATCCAAATCCAAATAGCGTCGCCACTTACAAGACTTTTTTGGGTGTGTCGCTCTCAAAGGAATATTCCGCGCCAGGCCGCCGCTTCTTAAAAGCTTCTCTGACTCTGACTCCGATAGGCGGAGGAGGAGGCTACGCTTGTAAGGAGGAGAAGGAAGCAAGGAGGGAGGCAGCAGAAGCACCATGGATTCCCTCTGTAAGTGCCATACCATGGCTTTTCTCTCTCTCTCTCTCTCTGAATAATGCATCGATTTGATGTAAGTTAGCGCCCATGTATGTGTTTCCCCCCACAAAAGCTCGACTTGATCTGAATTTGATGATCTTGCTATTTTGAATCTCGGAGTAGCGCAACTTCATATGGCAAAGATGAAATTTGTATCGAATCGGTTCGTCAGAATCTTGAGTAGTTGCTTAGTTTCAAGATCCTGTGAACTGAATGCATTCTCTGACAGGGCACGCCTCCGTCATTGTCCTTGTGCTTCTAACCATTGGAGGATCCGATGCCAACCCAGCCGCCCGTCGCCACGGTCAGCTGGATGTAAACCACAAGAAGCAGCCACTACAGACATCCAGGCCTTACAACATTGCCCACAGGGGTTCCAATGGCGAAATACCCGAAGAGACAGCTGCCGCATATTTGGTAACCAGCAATTTACTCCTCAATTACTTGCCCTTCCTTCTATGTTGCATCGGATTCAGATGGTAGTATATTTTAGTGGCACGTCAAATTCAACTGTACTTCCTCCGTTTTCGAATTACTTGTCACATAAATGGATGTATCTAGAACTAAAAATACGTCTATATACATCCATTTATGTGACAAGTAATTCCGGACAGAGGGAGTATTGCGTATTGAACCTAATAGTCTTCAGTGCCCGAGAAGACTATAGTATAATTTTAGGACAGCACATTCACATGCCCAACCATGATGAAAAGAGGTGTATGCTGAAGAATATCCCGAAGATCATGTCATGTCCAGATTGTTAGCCTGTTTTTTAATCTGGTGGAGATTCTCTGAAGACTGAAATCCAATATGTTAATGCAAGCCTGATTTTTTATTTTTTTAAACCGAACCTGAATATATTTGTGCATTGTTTATGGCAGAGGGCTATCGAGGAAGGTGCAGACTTCATAGAGACTGATATACTTGCATCAGAGGACGGTCATCTGATATGTTTTCATGATGTAACACTGGATGACACGACCGACATCGCTAACCGTACCGAGTTCGTTGGCAGGAAGAGAACCTATGAAGTCCAGGGAGTAAATATGACTGGTTGGTTTACCGGTATGTGAAACTGTATCTTAAGCTTCTTTTGTTGCTAACTTGCTATTTCTAACATTTTTTGGTCGAGAATCTACTTCTGACTTTTGGAGTTCTTCTTGCTTCCAGTGGATTTTACACTAAGAGAACTGAAATCACTGAGGGTGAAACAGCGCTTCAGTTTCAGGGATCAACAGTATAATGGTATTACTTTTTGTCTTGTCTATTTCTTGCTTTCTTATTTTTCTAAATGCATTTTACTGCCCTTAAATATGACTCTCATGTTTGCCATCAACAATGAAATAAAATCATATTAGTCTCAGTCGTGTGTAATTCGGATGCCTTATACATTTTTAGTTATTACCTTCGATTCATAATAAGTGTCGCAGTTTTGAACTAACCCCAGTTCAAAACTGCGGTACTTATTTTGGATAGGAGGGAGTACTATTTAATGTCCCTTTAAATACATAACTCTTGTTTCTTTGCTACTGCTAATAATGTTCTCCTACTATATTGCAGGGAAGTACAATATTCTTACATTTGATGAGTTTATCTTGATTGCACTTCATGCTGACAGGGTGGTCGGAATATACCCAGAGATCAAGAATCCTATTTTCATCAACCAGCATGTAGGTGATTTCAACCTGACAAACTCCTTGGAACACATTGTTTACTTAAGAAATGAACCAACTTTAATGTCTACTGATTTCTTGAATATTCTTCCACAATATGATTTTTGAATAAACATGCAGGTCAAGTGGTCAGGTGGCAAGAAGTTTGAGGACAAGTTTGTCGAGACGCTTCTCAAGTATGGCTACAAAGGCAAATATATGTCCGAAGATTGGCTCAAGAAGCCGCTATTCATCCAATCCTTTGCTCCAACCTCACTAATTTACATCTCAAACATCACAAATGCTCCAAAACTACTTCTAATAGACGAAACCACAGTTCCAACTCAAGATACCAATCAGGTAAGATCAGCAGTAAGCACTACTTTTTTTTCTGTCAAGTTCGTCACCCGAAAACTCCTAGTTTTCAAAGACGATTTGTAATCTGCAGTCATACTATGAGATAACTTCGAACGGCTATCTCGCATTCATAAGCAAGTATGTAATTGGGATTGGGCCATGGAAGGATACAATTATCCCCCCAGAGAATAACCTTTTAGGCCCTGCAACCGATCTTGTGGCACGGGCACATGCTCTGAATCTTCAGGTGAGCAACACACGTTTCTCTCTGTTATCATATGCAAGGTCTTAGATGACAGTACCTTGCTGAATCATGGTGGCGTTCCAGGTGCATCCATACACATTCAGAAATGAGAACTCATACCTGCACTTCAACTTCCATCAAGACCCTTATGCTGAATATGAGTACTGGCTCAGAGAGATCAGAGTCGACGCGCTGTTCACCGATTTCACCGGCAGCTTGCGCAAGTACCAGGAGTGGACAGCTCCGCACCAAAACAAAGAAAAGAAGTGCAGAGGACCTCCTGCATGAGATCGCCCAGACGCTGAAGGTTGATGCTCACTAAAGCTTAGGTTGCCAAGTCTGTATACCTCCTACCTTTGAGGAGTTATTTCACTGTTGTCAGTACCGAGAAAATGGACTGCTCAATACCATTCTATGTAATTGCTTCCTACAAATCACGGGAAGTGGCAACTTTAGAGCATCATGGAGTTCCAAAAAACTTCATTTAGTGAAAATTTTCTTCCCGTTTCTGCGGGACATGCCAACGTTTCTAAAAAGGGATAATTTGGCATGCAGTCTGAATCGTTTTCCTGAGCATAGCGGCGACCGGTCATCTATCCTTCTCACTGACAGGCCCCGCTCGGTAGACAAAGTTATGTGTGCATTGAATTTATGCTCCAACTAACTCATCCAAAAGTCCGGATTGATAAAGAGAGGCGGATAATATATGGATTTATGTAGGACGTAGAATCTTTTTTAATACTGCGTTGGCATGGTCTTGAACTCAAGACCTGCTGACTCTGATACCATATTGAATTCATACTCTAGCCAACTCATCCAAAAGTCCGAACCGATAGAGAGAGACGGGCAATATATTTCAACAGTGTGTTTCATGGTTGTCAGACGACGGCTCGTTATGTGTCTGAGCCGGGTTGGGCTAACATTTAATTATGCTTGTGTTAGTTCTTTTTGTCGGTATGGTCTTACTTGGTGGGTGGAGAGAGTTGTTGGGTGAGTCGACGTGATGTTGTAACACATCACAACGTTGGTGGTCACTGATAGTGTTCATATTAGCCCCATACAAACACCATGATTACTTGCTAGTAGGCTCATACCTCCTCGAGGAGGAAACACACTCTTAGAAATGGCTCCCACCAACGACCCCCAAGGTCCCGAGCTACTACGGCCCAGCATCCCTAAGGAGTTTAGTAACTTGGTAAATAGATATGGTTCATGTCATTGTCAATTCACCAGCTACTCCTAGGAGCTTATTTCTGTCAGAGCATCCCCAATAGGTCTCCAAAAAGCCCCCCCCCCCCCAATGGTTATCATGGCTTTCTCAATAATTTTATTTGGGTTTGCAGGTTTAGATCCCTCCCTTTCGGTTTATATGGCTCAATTCAAAAATATCACCAACCAAGATAGATGGTGAGTGTTGTAATAATTTTTATAGTTTTCAAAAAAGATTCACTTAATGAGCTCATTTTTCTCAAGAAATTGTGTATGTTTACCAATGTATTAATTGCAATGCATGCATGCGTGATCAATAAATGACCAAGAACTTTTACATGCATTGGCGAATTTTCTCTTAATCATTGCATGCAACGATTTAATCCACCTTGAAATCTAAAAAATGTGAATGGGAGAAATAAACGAGGCTTGCAAAATGAGAAATCAAATGTTTTGAGATATGCCCTACAAACTAGAAGGGAGGGAGTACTTTCCTAGATCCTCCACAATACCTCCCCGAATACCGAACCTTGCATATGCGACAGTTGCATGAAGGTGGCATGGTGGGCAATGGTGGCGACATGCTGACTGATGTGGCAAGTATTGGGAGAATTCCCCTAGATATTGGGAGAGATAGGGGGATTTATTGGGGCTTTTGAAATATTTTTAGGGAAAATGGCAGAGTTTCTGAGAAACTAGAACTTCATGTCTCCAGAATACAATTTTAGGGAAACGACAAGTTGGTATATGACGTTGGTCTCCGAAAGCCCGGATATAACGAACATGAGGAGGATCAAATAGAAAAAACAAGGACTCCAACTAAGGTTTTTTTGGGTGGACCGAGGGTGTTGGAGTCTGACATGGCCGACCTCCGAACTTTACTAAACATCCCCTTGATTTGGGGCTAGTTTGTGGGATTTCAAATGCCCGGACTGGTCCGAACGAATTTCGTGAGCCATGTTGGATGACTAAGTGACCGGACCGCCGAACATTTGTGGACATTTTATCCCCAAGCGCCTCCCTTCTCTACCTTGCCGTATTGGTCAGATAGTAGGTTGCAAACTATTCCCCTCCCATTCATGTGGCTCAGGTGTTGAGGTTCACCGCATTTTTTTGCGAATACGTATGAGAGCATATCATTGCATTGATAGGGAAAGCAAATATAGGGCAATGCCTAGCCATGTACATATATTGGCGTGGTCAGGGCACCCGATGAGCAGAAGAAAAGGGGGTGGTCAGCCCCAAGAGTGCACGATCGGGTTACATGGATAACTAGTCTTAATCCTTTGGCTCCGATGTTAGCCCAGGAGCAAGCCTCGTCCTTGATCACGTTGATAAGGGTGGAGGATGACGGTGTGATCTTGTCAAAGATAACGGCGTTGCGGTATTGCCAAATAGATCATGTAGTGAGAGCGCCGATGGAGGCTAGCGTCGGGTGCTGTTTTCTGCTTGTTTTTTGGTTTTACGGAAAATACCAAACAGAGTCCAAACATGATGAAACTTTTTGATGATTTTTTCTGAACCAAAAGAGACCCTAGAGGCTTCGGGGGAGGACTAGAATACCTACGAGGCACGCCCTGTTGTCTTGTGGGCCCCTCATGGCTCCGTCTGACTTAACTCAAGTGCTATAAATTTCCAAATATTGGAAAAAACCCAGATGCACCAACGAAACAACTTTTCCACCGTCGCAAGTCTTTGTTGTTTCGCAGCCCCATCTGGAGGCCTTCGCCGGTACTCTGCTGCAGGGGGAATCGATCACGGAGGGCTTCTGCATGAACCTTACTGCACCTCCGATGATGTGCGAATAGTTCCCACAGGACCTATGGGTCCATAGTGATTAGCTAGATGGCTCTCTCTCTCTCTCTGACCTTCAATACAATGTTCTCTTTGGAGATCAATTCGATGTAATATTTTGTGGTGCGTTTGTTGGGATCCGATGAATTGTGAGTTTATGATAAGATTATTCATTGAAAGTAATTGACACTTTTCTAAACTTTATTATGTGTGATTGTTATAGCTTAGTATTTCTCTCTGGTCTATCCGTTTGGTTTGGCCAACTAGATTGGTTTATCTTCAACGGGAGAGGTGCTTTTGATGTAGGGTGGAACCCTAGGGGCCAGTCTTTCATGATTTGGAGGGGATCCCCCGAAGAACACGAGGAAAAACACGAGGGAAATCACGAGAGGAACACTCTAGAACAAGTCCAATCACACATCCACTAGACAATCAAACACACAAGTTCCACAAGGTACATGAACAACAAGGGGAAAGATACATGGTAAAGTTCATCTCCAAGAGGACGCCTTGAACCCTAGACGGATCTTCACATGAGGGGCCTTGAATCCACTAGGGATCTTCTCACATGCTTACATGGAGGTCTTGAACTCCATGGGAGTGGTACTCTCTCTCTCTCTCTCAAGAGTAGAGTGGTACAAGGAGCAAAGCTCTCTATCAAACGAGCTATCACTTTGCTAACCCTAAAAATGTGGAGGAGGAAGTCTATTTATAGTCTAGGCCACGAAGGGGTAAGTGAGGGGGCGGAATGGGTACATGGGCCTCAGTCTGAAACATGCGTGCAGGCAAAGGCCGGATGATCCGGGCATCATCCAAATGAGCCGAGTGTCCATCTAGATGATCCTGCTAGGTCGTTGCTACAGGGAACAACCGGACATCTGGGACTGTCCGGACGGTCCGGGCATCTTCCGGATGATCCGGGAGGGGGTCCGGATGATTCGGCTTCACGCGAGGCCTTCGGGTGTCTTCCTGCCGTCGTAGCCGGACGATTCGGGAGAGGGTCCGGATGATCCAGCAGAGCCGAATGATCCGGACGGAGATCCGGATGTCCGGCCTGGCTCCAGCAGCCGCTCCGTCTTCTTCTCCTTTCTCCCGTCTTCTCTTCCACGCTTCCCTCGTGGACGGTGTAGTCGTTCCTTGGCGCTTACACTCCCCCTCGACATTCGTGAAGCTCCGACAATACCTATGCATGCACGATGGAGGGTCAAGTAGTATACCATCCTCTAAGGGGTCAAGTGAGCATGTGTAAAGGAGATGATTCACCTTTGTGTATGTTAAGTAGACGTCACATGTGTCACTTGCCAAACGGACTCTTGACATGGTGATGTCCGTAGGATGCTCCGCGTCATCCCCTCCCCCTTCGGAAAGACCTGACCTCGGATCGAAAACCAAATCACCATGGGAAAGAGACGGCTCGTCGTGTAGAAGTAGACGATCACTAAGTACTCGTCATCTTGAGGCTCGAAAGGGACACTCTCCATTGTCGTACCGTCTCGTGATTCCCTCAAAAGGAGCAAAGACAACAAACACTTGGAAAAAGAAATGTGGTTAGCGTTAGTGCAAAACCAAGCATTCAAATGGCGATTCACCCAACAAGTGTCGTCATCAAGCATAGCATATGGTGTGACAAAGGATTGTGACATGGCATGTAAGCATATGAATTGAGCACAATCAAGGTCATCATGGAGACAAACATGTAAATGTGAGGTAGTGATGAAAATATGTGTGACAAGAGAATAAGCATCTACCTCATGGTCATAGCAGTCATGCATAAATCGCTCAAAAAATGGTCTATGGTAAGCATATGAGTCATTCAAAACACCAAATAAAATGAAGTGTCTAAACACATGGGGCAAGACAATCCAAGTATAATGTGCATATGGTGTAGTGAAGATAGTGTGGCACTCAACACAATAGAAAGAGCAATTGTTCATCATGTGTGAGGCAATCAAGGCAAGCATGTAGCAATCAATAGGACATGGAATATGTGAAGTGATGACATTATTGCAACCAAGCATATGATAGGAGCAAGTAGGCAACAAGTTGGATGCAACATAGAAGGTATATATGTCATGAGGCATGGCAATGTGGCAATGATAAGTCGAAGAAAGATATCTAGCATGTGTGCAATATGTCAAGGTGCAAGCAACACATGAAGTATGATCCATAATATCCATGCGCATGGTTTGGGGGTTCTCAAAAGAGAAGGATATCACATTGAAAGCATGTCCTTGTGCATCCTTCACAATGCCGAAGCACAAGCAAGTACGATGTGGAAGCATCGT